ACTCCTGGCTCTGCACTCAGGAATCACTCCTGGCAGTGCTCAGGGGATCATATGGGATGCTGAGAATCGAACCTGGGTCGGCCGCGTGCAAGGCAAACGCCCTACCCGCTGTGCTATCGCTCCAGCCCCTATTTCATTTTTAATCTTTGTAAATTGTTTTCGGGCTCCACCCTGCAATGTTCAAGGGTTCCTCTTGGCTCTGCACTCAGGAATTACCCCTGGCAGTGCTCAGAGGGAACATATGGGATGCCAGAGATGGAACCCGGGGCTGGCTCCATGCAAAGCAGACATCCTACCCGCTGTCCTATTGCTCTGGGCCTTGCTTTATTCCACTGGGCACAGACTGTGTTTCTGACGAATCAAAGATTGTGGTAAGCTGGAGCTGGCTCAGTCTGTCGGAACTGTTTCACACAGCATCGCCCACTTGGTGTCTCTGCGTCACTTTTAATTAAGGTCTGTATGTTGTCTTCAGACGCAAGGCTACCACACATATCATGGCCTCTCAGGGCCTGTACCCAGTGCCCTGAGAAACCAAATGATTTATGACTTGAGTCCTCACCGGTATCTTTTTTCCAGGGGCCATCTGGCCACTGCAGTATCTCCATGGAATGCAGTAATTACTCTGAGTTAAATAAATAATTTTCTTTGATTTGGGACCTCTAATGGATGAGTTTTGTAACTGGCAACTCATGAATTCTAAGCTCTTTTAGGATGCATAGGATGTCTTAAATTCTTAAGTGTTTAGAAATTTCTTGGTGTGCTTATTTTCCGAGTTTGGGAAACAGTTTCACAGCCTTGTTTGACTTCCTTTCCTGTCTCCTCTTCTTCTTCTTCTTCTTCTTCTTCTTCTTCTTCTTCTTCTTCTTCTTCTTCTTCTTCTTCTTCTTCTTCTTCTTCTTCTTCTTCTTCTTCTCCTTCTCCTTCTCCTTCTCCTTCTCCTTCTCCTTCTCCTTCTCCTTCTCCTTCTTCTTCTTTCTTTTTGCTTATTTTGGGTCACAGCCGGCAATGCACAGAGGTTACTCCCAGCTCTGCATGCAGGAATTACTCTTGGCGATGCTCAGGGGACCATATGGGATGCTGGGAATCGAACCCGGGTCGGCCGCGGAAAATACCCTACCTATTTTCCAAGGAAAATACCCTACCTGCTGTGCTATCGCTCCAGTCCCTCCTGCCCCTTCTGAAGTCACATTTCTGACCTGGTATTGACTTTCAGTTTTCCTGAAGTATGCATCTTTCACCTCTAATTCTGATTGCAGAAAATAAAAATATGTCCTGCAATTTGGAGCACTGGCCTTCAGAGTTAAAGTTGTGTTGTCCGTGAAGCATGTCTGGGTGCCCTGCCCCCACTTCTCTTTCTCCTTTGTGGTTCCAGGAAACCAATCTAGGGCACAGGGTCCCCCACCAGGGCTGTCCCCGCCCGTCACACACTTCTGAGCTTCTGAGCATATGATTCAAAACGAGAGATAAGAGAATCATTGGTTTGTTTCTTCATCTTCGTGCCAAATATCGATGTCTCATCCCGAGTGACATGTAAGTGGTTCTTAAGTCTTACTTACGTAGCCGTGATAATAACTGCTTTCTCCAGCTTCCACTTGAGTACATTCCAGGGAATGGAGGACAATTACTGAGAATTACGCTTCCTTTGAAATTCCAGTGTCACAAAGGGCTTGCTTAAAATCCCCAAAGTGATGATGTGAGTTTTGTCCCTTTCCTAGAATTGCAAAGGGGAGAATGGAAGAAGTGACCTCTGAGGACAGAGGCAGACACTCAGTGCCTGCTACCTCGCCGCCTTGGGGGTCAGCTTGGTGTGACTTTTTTATTTTTGTTTTTTTTTAAATTTGTTTTTGAAAAATTAAAAAAAATAATAAATAAATTTGTTTTTGGCCCACGCCCTTCTGTGTTCAGGCTTACTCCCGGCTCTGCACTCAGGGATCACTCCTGGCAGTGCTGCTCTGGGGACCATATGGGACACGGGGATGAAACCTTTTTTAGCCACATATGACACCAGCCATTGTCTGTTGCTCAATTTCCCTTGTCTCACATCTTACTTTTTCTAAGTGGTCATTGAAATCCCTCCCTGTTGGCAAGGAGCCCGTGTGTGTGTGTGTGTGTGTGTGTGTGTGTGTGTGTGTGTGTGTGTTTATCTTTTTTTGAGGTCAGTCCAGGCAGTGCTGGGGGTTGGGTGGGTGGTTGGGGTTGGGGTCCCGGGACTGTGCTCCGGCCCTTTGATCTGTCTCCCCTGCCCCGCTGGGCCCCTACTTAGAATCTTTCCCAGTGGACTCAGGACTCTGAGGCTTGCTCTGGGGAAGGAGAGCTGGACCCAACCTCCGCAGGAGAGAGACTTGGAGAAGCCTGACATGTCCATGGCTGAGCTGTGACATGGCTGTTGTCTGGGGGTCTCTGGGCTGAAAGGTCCCACCCAGCTCTGTGAGCTCTGCCAGCTGTCTGCTCCCCCCCCCCCCCTCCCCACACACACCTCTCCTTCTGACCCAGATCCTCATGCAGCACAGAGCAGAACCCTCTCAATGTCTTCATCAAGACTGAGGGTGCTGGGGCTGGAGAGATAGCACAGCGGGTAGGGCGTTTGCCTTGCACGTGGCCGATCCGGGTTCGATTCCCAACATCCCATATGGTCCCCTGAGTGCAGAGCCAGGAGTAACCCTGTGCATGGCCAGGTGTGACCCAAAAAGCAAAAAAAAAAAAAAAAGACTGGGGGTACTGGCTGATGAGAGAGTCTGGGGGTTCTCCCTGGAGGAAAGACGGCCAAGGGACTCTCTCCAAGCAGAGAGCTGAGAGCTAATGACCCATCCTGCTCCGGGAGAGACAGCCAGGCGTGGGGGCGTCCTGCACCTCAGACACCCATGGGTATCGGGAGGGTATGAGCACCTGCTCTTCCTCGGCCTTCAGCTCCACCATAGATGCAGGGGAGGCAGAAATGTGTTGGAGGGTCTCTGCCCATTCGTGATTCCCGGGTTCATCAATATTTTTATTTTTAATTTTTATTATTTTTTTAATGTAATATAGGAGTAATGCTATTTATTCAGCCATTGATTAAGCTGATTGACTGGGGAATCTTCAATATTTTCAAGACTGAAAATATGGAGTACTGAAGATGCTCAGACTCAGAGCTGGAAAGTAGAAACGTTTCTTGGACAGTAGGAGAGAGAGAAGAAAAGGAGCTTCCCCAGCCTGGGAGGAAGTTAGTCTAGAGCTAAGTGAACTCTAGCTCTTTCTGGGAGATCTGGATAGGAAACCGGATCTTTGTGTAACTGAGAGCACAGGGAAGCCACAGGTGGTCAGGCTGGTCACCTGCCTCAGGGACTGTCCATTATCTCAGTCTCCCTGTGAGCCAAAGCTCCGGGGCAGAATTTTAGGATGAGCAATTGGTAACTCCTGTTTATTAGAAAAGTCTAGGAATTTGTAGGGAGTGGAAAAAAAAAAAAGTAGGATGGGCCGGCCCAAAGCAGGACAGCTCACAACAGCTGGGGGAGAGGTTTCCTCTTAACTTTTAAATTTTATTTATTTATTTTGATTTTTTAACCTTAATTTTTTAAGTTTTCCTCTTTCTCCATGCCCCTGCCTCTCTCACGCAGGGTACGTTCGTTTTCCAGAAACCCAGCGTCCGTGCCAAGCGCCCATCCCAACTCAGCTCTGCCAAACTGCCCTTTGCAGGGCTCTGGGTTGGCTGACAGCCCTGCCGAGCGCGCTGAGAACATCCGTTTGCTCTCTCTCAGGCGCAGGCCTGCAGTTGGAGGCGACAGGCCCCCTGGCGACCCCAGTGACCTCCTCTCTGCCTCCTCAGAGGGGCCTCGAGGGAAGGTTTCCTTCCAGAGGCTGTTCATGCTTCCCTCAGATCCTCGGTGCTTTTCATCTGTGCCCAGCTTCTCTTGTGCCTGAGTTTGTCTTGGAAAGAATCACCCCAGGAAAGCCTGCCAGCATCGAGGAGGGGAGAGGCGTGTCTGCAGTGTCCCTTGTCGCCAGCCTTTGCTCCACGCAGAACCTTCCATCTCTGTGTGAGAAAGAGGAGTGGCATCTGATTTTCTGCAGGTTTCATTCGGCAGTAACATCTTTCGCTTGTCTGGTTTCGACCGTGGTGCCTGGTTGGAATATGGGCCCCTGGGGCCCCGTGGGTCGGGGTAAGCCTGGGCTGTCTCCACACCCCAGACTGATATTTGACTACCTTCTTTGCAGCGCCCCAGACTCTGCCGGGGAACCAGGCCGCAGGCCAGGCTCGGCTCTCCCGGGAACAGGGATTGCTGTGGCGCATTCTTTCAGGGTCAGAGACGAGTTTGCACACGTCCAGTGGGGCTCAGTGGGAGTTTGACACCATGTGATTTTGGTAGGAATTTAATGATCGGGTTTAGAGCACCTGTAATAGAAACAAAAAAGAAGAAAAGCAGGCTCCGTCTGAGAGCTTGTTTCCAAATCACTCTGGGTGCCTCTAAGCTGCTTCCTTAACCTGCTTTTGCTTTCGTATTTTCAACAGCTGGGGCTTGCTTGGCTCTGCTCGGGGGTGTGGTCTCTGCCTCCCTGCCCTTTGTTGTGTTTTTCCTTCCGGAATTGGCTTTTCTCTCTGCAAAACGTCGTTGCTGCTGCCTGCCGACTGGCTCTTTGCAATCCCCAGTGACTTTGCAAAAAGTTCAGTCTTGGCATCCAACCTGCTTTCCTGGAACACAATGTGATGCTGACGCCACCGCCCGCCAGTCACCAGCCCGGCCGGCCCGCCCGACAGACAAGAAGTTTGTCTCACTTCCCCTGAGTGTCCAGGGGTGAGTAAGAGCAGCAGCGGGGGCGCCTTCCTTGCCACCGCCACCGTTTATTACGAGGTTTTATGTCTGTGGCAACCGCCACCACCATGTCGCTCGTGAATCAATCCATCAGATTACCCTGAATCACCCGGCCAGCCAATAGCTCCTGGGATGACTCTGGGCTCGCGACCGGCCACGTTGTGACCGAGATGGCCAGGCAGGGCTGCGGGCCACCACCGTGCTCCCTGGATGCACTGCCGTGGGGAGAGCAGGAGATGCTGACCAACTGCTCCGGCAGCTCAGCCTGTGCCACCAACCGCTCCCAGGCACCGCTGCCCGTGGGCCTGGAGCTGCCCAGGAGCCTGGAAGTCGTCTTCACCGCTGTGTCAGCCGTGATGATGGGGCTGCTCATGTTCTCCCTGGGCTGCTCCGTGGAGACCCGCAAGCTCTGGGTGCACCTCCGGAGGCCCTGGGGCATCGCCGTGGGGCTACTCTGCCAGTTTGGACTCATGCCGCTCATAGCGTATCTGCTGGCACTGGGCTTCTCACTGCAGCCAGCCCAGGCGGTCGCTGTGCTCATCATGGGGTGCTGCCCCGGGGGGACCATCTCCAACATCTTCACCTTCTGGGTCGACGGCGATATGGATCTCAGGTGAGTGCCGGGGAAGCTTGGTTCTCCCCCCACAACAACAGTTTGCTGGGGTGGGGTGTGTGGGGAGCGGGCAGCTGACACTGTTTTCAATGCTGCCCACCTTTGGGGAGATATTCTGGTGGGAAACAGTTTGCAGAGATTTTTTTTTTTTCAGTGCACAGAAGACTTTTTCTTGTGGAGTTCGAGATGGACTTTGCTGTCATTATCTTTTGCTCTCCCGGCAACTCTGCTTAGAATTGTAGGAGTTTCTTATACATCTTGGGGTACCGGGCTGGCTCGTGTGGAATAGTGAACACTGGTGAGCTCACTGCAACCGCCTCTAGGTTGGGGGTCTCTCGCACACACTGGCAGCTCCAACAAATGCCAACTCTCTGCACTCCGAGGGCCTAGACTGTGGATGCTGAGGAGAATGTAGGTGGGTGTGGATTCGGGGATGCTGAGGAGAGTTTAGGTGGGTGAGAATTCGGGGGTGCTGAGGAGAGTGTAGGTGGGTGCGGATCCGGGGATGCTGAGGAGAGTGTAGGTGGGTGCGGATTCGGGGATGGTGAGGAGAGTGTAGGTGGATGAGGATTCGGGGATGCTGAGGAGAGTGTAGGTGGATGAGGATTCGGGGGTGCTGAGGAGAGTGTAGGTGGATGAGGATTCGGGGGGTGCTGAGGAGAGTGTAGGTGGGTGAGGATTCGGGGATGCTGAGGAGAGTGTAGGTGGGTGCGGATCTGGGGATGCTGAGGAGAGTGTAGGTGGGTGAGGATTCGGGGATGCTGAGGAGAGTGTAGGTAGGTGCTGGACTGCAGGTGCTCGAGGCCTCCTCAGAACAATGGCTGAGGAGTTTTACTCAGCACTCGTTGCTGAGCACTGAGATTGGCCAAAGAGCTAATAAGACCATCTGAGCCTGCCACCAGGACTGCTGGTGGCCTATTCCTTTGCCTTGGGGAACAATAGGAGGCTTTTATGACTACCAGAGACTTTCTTTCCTGCTGAACTGGCCTCTCTGGACACTCATTCTTTTTCTTGAAACCAGGCACTCTATTCCCCAATACAGCATGAATCAATGTTTCTACGAGACATGAGGCGTTCTCATTCATTCTCACTGAAGAGTGGTTGAGTTAGCATTTTTGACTGTACGTGCTCTGACTGGAGGAATGCCTGAGAGGAGAGAATAGAGGAGGCACCATCGGAACTGAGGAGTTGAAAACTGGCCTTTCTAGACTTTTTGCTTAATTATGAGCACACTATTTCCCGTCCTGTGCTGGGAAGGAGTTTCTTAAACATTTTTGTTTGATGTGTATGTCAGTTAGTGGAAAATACTCTCCGATAAATCAAAGGTGCTGTTCTGGGGGCCGACGGCGGTGCTCTGGGTGTTCAAATGCTTCTGTACGCTCCGTGCTCACAGATGCGACCTACCCTGCCTTCCAGTGTTAATGGGTTCATGCACTCACACCAATACTTAACTTTAATATGGGGTTCATTTTGGTGATCCGCTCAGCAGATTAGAAGAAATCACTATGCATTCTAATTAGAAATAATCCCCCTGACATTTACTACTAATTAAAATTCAATGAGGTATGTCATTTAGAAGTGATACATATTCTTCTTTCTTTGTTTTGTTTCTGGGCCCCTCTGGCATGTGCTCAGGGCCTTTTCCCGGTGCTGTTCTTGGGAGTAGCTCCTGGCGATGCTCAGGGGACTGAATAGTGGCAACGATCCAACCTGGGTCTCCAAGGGCAGAAAGCATGACCCACCCTGTTGAGCGCTGTCCCTGGCCTGGTGACCAATCTTTACATACATTCCATGCCTCAGTGATGAATTCCAGGAGCTGAATTGATAAAAAAAGGAAAGTGGCTTTTATTTCCACTTTTTGTTATTGCTGTGGGGCAAGCACCCAGTGGTGCTCAGAGCCAAGTGGTCCAGGAATCAAACTCCGGGTTCCCACATGTGCTTGGCCCTTTGAGTTTGAGTTCTCCCCAGCCCCAAGGATTCTATTCCCCTGCATCTTGGCACTCGTAATAACCTTGCAAATGACCTCTTGCTTTATTGATGCTTACAGCTGAGTCAATTGGGACTCTGATTGGTCAGGTCTGCTGCTGCCGGTGAGAGTGGAACAGCATTCAGACCTGAGTTCACATCTGGTTCACATCAGTCTGCAGCTGAAGCACTTTTTTCCAGTCCACTTAGCAACAGGACCAGGTTCCTTGTCCTGAATAGGACCATAAATCTTTTAACAGTGTTTTCAAATACTTTTGGGTAAGAGGATAGTTATCACCTTTGTCTCTTATTAGTCAATAGCATAATAAAGGCACTTAAAGAAGAGGAAGTCCATAAAAAGATAAAGCTCATTTTACCTCTCTTTGCCAATTCTATTCTTAAATAGTGTGTGTATATGTGTGTGTGTGTGTGTGTGTGTGTGTGTGTGTATTCCAGGGGTGGGGGGGTCACCCGTGGCTCTGAACTCAGAATTCACTCCGGCCAGTGCTCCAGAGACCATATAAGGTGCCAGTGATTGAGCCTGAGTCTGTTGCATACGAAACAAGTGTCCTACCCGCTACATTTTCTCTCCAGCCTCTTAAGTAGCTTTTACTTTCTTTTTGTATTTATTTATTTATTTATTTATTTATTTATTTATTGCGTCACACTTGGCGATGCACAGGGGTTCCTCCTGGCTCTGCACTCAGGAGTTACTCCTGGCAGTGCTCAGGGGACCATATGGGATGCTGGGAACCGAACCCGGGTCAGCCGCATGCAAGGCAAACGCCCTACCTGCTGTGCTATCTCTCCTGCCCCCTTTTTTTTTGTATTTAAGAACTGTGACTTACAAAGTGATTGGTAGTTGAGTTTTAGACAGATGGTATTTCAACACCAATCCCACCACCAGGGTCCACTTCCCTCCAGTGTTCCCAGATTCCCTCTCACCCCAACTCTCCCCCCTCAACCCCCTCCCTCCAAGATTCCCCTTCCCCCCTCCTCCTAATCACCTTGACAGGCACAATACAAAGCTTCAGTGGTTGCAGTTTAGAAATCCTGTTTTCAGTTTCATTGAGTCTGTGTTTTGTGGCTATACCACTTACACACTTGATCACTTGACATCCCGTCACTCATCGATTTGCTCGAGCGGGCACCAGTAATGTCTCCATTCGTCCCTGTTGCGTGCTTTCAGGGTCAGGGGAATGAGACCCATTGTAATTACTGGTTTTTGCATTATTGAATATGCCACAGATAGCTTGCCAGGCTCTGTCATGCGGGCGGGATACTCTCAGTAGCTTGCCATGCTCTCCAAAGGGATAGAGGTGTTTTTTTAAAAATTTTTATTAGTAAAACACCATGAGGTGCAGTTGTAGATTTACAATTTTTTGTGCGTGGGTTTCAATTGTACAATGATCAAACACCCATCCCTCCACCAGTGCCCATTTTCCACCACCACGGATCCCAGTATCCCTCCCACCCCCATCCCCCCCATCCCACCCTGCCTCTGTGGCAGGGCATTCCCCTCTGTTTTCTCTCTCTCCTTTTGGGTGTTGTGGTTTGCAAAAGAGGCAATGGGTGACAATCATGGTCTATAGTCTACTTTCAGCATGCTTCTTTCATCCTGGGAGGATCCTCCCAACACCCTTGATTTGGTGCTCCCTTCTCTATCTGAGCTCTCTTTGTCTACACAATGGAGTACTATGTAGCTGTTAGAAAAGATGAAGTCATGAAATTTACATACAAGTGCTACTACATGGAAAGTATCCTGCTAAGCAAAATGAGTCAGAAAGAGAGGGATAGACATAGAAAGATTGCATTCATCTGGGGGACATAAAGTAACAAAATGGGAGACTGCTCCCCAAGAGTGGCCGAGATTAGTACCAGGGATAGAGGCTTTTAGGGCAGCCTCTGATGTATGTGAGGTATTTTTGGGCAACACAGCAATGCTCAGGGATCACTCTTGGTGGAGCACAGGGTTTCCTATGTGGTGCTGGGGATGGAACGTATGAGAAGGAGGGAGGGAGAGAGAGAGAGAAAGGGAAAGGAGAGGAGAGGGAGGAGGGGGTAGGGGCCAGCTGAGCTTCGACACCCCTGACACCCCGTGTCATTCAGTCCTGGCCTGGCCGAACAGTCCAGCGGCCCCCTCACTGGGCCTTAGGGTGGGGGTCTGGGTTTGGGGAGATGAGCCCTCCCTTCCCCATGCTCCCAGAACCCCCCTCCTGCCACTTACACAAGTAACTTTGAACGTAGGCATCTTACTGAGTGTATAAGTCCCATCTCTTTATTTGTAAAAGGGCATTATGATTACTTATTCCTCATAAGACTATATTTGAAGAAGGAACTATGTAGGCATGCAGTAGGCATGCAATACATAAAAGCTATTTCTCTCGTTTAAGTCTTTTATATTGAGTCTCAGAAACAAAATAATCAATTAATCTATATATGACATGAGCTTTCAAAAGGGGACTTAATGTGAGATTTTTCAAAACCCTCGCTATGTAAGAAATAGAAACTCATTAGTAAAATTTTAGTATTACTGAGTCAAGCAGTATTATTGAGTCGAACATTACATTCCTTCTCACTTGATCACTCATAAAAATAAAGTCAAGCAAAGCGTAGTGGTCAGTCATTTATAAAAATTTTGGTTTTTTGTGTAGGGCTGGAGTGATAGCACAGCGGTAGGGCATTTGCCTTGCGCACAGCCGGCCTGGCTGAGCCAGGTTTGATTCTTCTGCCTCTCTCAGAAAGCCTGGCAAGTTACCGAGAGTATTCAATATGCCAAACACAGTAACAAGAAGTCTCACAGTGGAGATGTTACTGGGCCCGTTCATCAAGCAAATCGATGAACAACAGGAGGACAGTGCTGGGTCAAATCCAAGAGTGTTTAGTAACTGTGTGCTGCACACCTAAGGAAATGGGGACTCGGTTCTCTGCAGACGCCCCAGACTGTTTCTCGAGCCCTGCCCCACCCCCCGTCCCCATCCCGGGCATCCTTTACCTGCAGTTCTACATGGAATCAACCCACCAAACATGGTGCG